GTGCACGTGTGTTATAATTCTTGGTACATTTCTTTGCCGTCCTCTGCAAAACAGCAACAACGTGAAATGACCAAACTCTGCGTTGTCTGGAGAACGTGAACCACGACAGCTATTTTTTTAAGTTTCTACTTCAAACTTTTCGCTGTGTTCCAGATTCAGTTTCGCGATAGCTTTGGCATTGAGAAACATGTACAACCTAAATGATTATCGCAAGATTCGGGGGTAAAATATAAAGCCATTTTTAATCGAGATTACGGTCCTCGACGTCGCTGTCGTGGTCACTTAAACTCCCTAATCTCAAGGGATAAGTAAGATCAAAGTTGTAGTCATGCCGGGCTTCCTACCTCTAACATTAGAGCTGTATCCTGAACAGTCCTGGTCATAGGTCCCGTATGATCCAGAGTGAACTCTATTGGCATGATGCCGGTATACGGTACTAACCCGAAAGTAGGTTTCAGGCCCACAATGCCACACGCGGCGGCTGGAATCCTTATAGAGCCTCCCTGATCTCCACCCGTTGCCATGTCAACCTTGCCTCCGGCTACCTTTAAACCAAACAGAAGAAAAGACTTGGAGAAATCACAAACTTATAACATCTTTGGGTTCGGGCCCCGTTGGAGTCGTTACTGTTATAACTTTATGACAACATCGCTTTTCCCCCGAAAAACGTTACTTTTCCCTACCAAAGCCGCGGATCCCGAAGAGGATCCTCCAGCCATTCTTGTGCTACTGTGTGGATTCAGCACAGGTCCCGTAGCAGCAGTAAAGCTTCCACCGCTGCAGCACAAATTCTCACAGACACTCTTGCCGATTATGTTTCCACCTGCGTCCAATATCCGGGACACCACTGTGGCATCAATATCCGGGACAAACCCTTCTAAGGTGAGGGAGCCATTCATCATTGGTACTCCTGCCACACACGTGTTATCCTTAATGGCCACCGTCTTGCCCTGAAGTTTGCCATTCGATGCTCCTTTGATATCACAGCGCCAGTACCTTGAAAGAATAGCAATATTGCAGTCTTTTTGACCAAGAGTTTTCTGTTGTCCTACACGAGCAACCTCGTCCCAGGGCGATTTTCGAAAGTTGGAAGGGCGGGAGAATGATCCCTGGGGACGAAGTTGCTCTACAAGGTCCTATACTCCACAAAAAACTGTTGCCAACAAGTTAAGGGGACAAGAAAATGA